GTACGGTGATTCGTTCGAGGCACGATTGCTGTTCTCCGTGGGCTCTTCTGTCGCTGTGGGTGGACTCCGACCGGCAGCCTCACGGCGTGGATCGCGAAAAGCAGTATATCGTTCCGAAAAGCGGCCAAACCAGGAAATGGCATTGCTATCATGTAGCGGCTCGTAGCTCATTTCCTCATCGTCGTCGTCGTCAGAAGCGGGCGCCCATCCGTAAAGCGAGCGCGGATTCGACATTCTGCCCTCATAGTTCGGCAGGCTGTTGGAATTGGAGGTAGTGTTGTGGTGTGTGTTTGGACTGTCGCGCTGGCGGCGCACAATCGGGATGCGACGATTGCTTTCAATCCGCGTATTCGAGAAGTCCTCCGATTCGAACGGGGCGAGATCGAATTCCATCAAATTCTGTAGCCGACCACGGCGCTGACGACTGAGGGAGGAAGATGAGTCGGGCGGGGAGCGCACACGCGATCGCAGAAAGTTCACGTTATCATCATGGGCGTCATCGGACACGGCGGCGGGGAGAGAGGGTACAGGAACGGGGACAGGCCGCAAGGAGGAAGCAGAGGAGGACTGGGAGGAGGGATCCTATGTGCCGAAAGTCAGATTTTAGCCAAGAAAAGCTTTCCTGTCTGCAATAAGTATTGTATGATTAAGAATCCCATCTGTTATCACGATAGGGCCGGATGTCAACTGATGATAATGGCTGCTCAGTCATTGGTTGTATGCACGAGCGAGACGGCCAACGAACCGAGTCATGTTCTGAACATCTCTCCATACCCAGGCAATAACAGACAATCAACCAGATCGCATAGAGACACACATACAGATGGCGAGTTGGCCGGGGGCATGATCTGTTAGAGCGACGAGAAGCAGGTGGTAGTGGAGTGGCGGCGAAAAGGCAGCCCGCCAGAAGGGGGAAAAGTTGGGTTGAGCCTCAAGCATGCACTGGGCGGGGCCGAGTCTTTTTTTTTCAAGGCAGATTCCGGCAGTAGTGCTCCAAACTATGTCGTGGGAAATGATCGATGAAGGGAGCGTGACGCTGCAGTTGTGAGAGAGAAAGAGAGAGAAAGAGAGAGAGAGTTGTTTGTTGGAGATGAAGTCAGAGTCGAATGCGGAGCGAGTCGCAAAGCCGCCCGGAGTCACTGGATTGCCGTATCCGGATCTTTTCTCTCTCTTTCCCCAACATTTGGGTTGGGCTTCTCCAATTCATTCCCCACTACATCTGTTCTTGACTTCTATCCACTCCAATTCAGGGCTGGGCTCTACATTTACATTTCATCCTGTCTGCAGATAGACACAAGTCATGGAGCTGCACTATGACATACCTGGCGTTACCCCTCGTATTGACCGAGTCTCTCTCCGATTATCATCATCATTGTCATCTGACTGATAGTCAAAACCCTCCTACTAACTCTCTGCTTCTACCTCTATGATCTCATCATCATATTTAATTCCAATTCTGTATCAAATGCCGATATAACGGTGATAGCAGATTATCTTTGAGGAGCTTCCACGGTTAAGCTTATCCTTGGACTAATGCAAGACAATAACCCACTTAGCACCCTAAGGGTAGCATATCACACTTCTAGATCTGATACGGATCTTCTGGCTGCTGAAGCCCAGAGCCTCGGATGCAATAATGCCAAGAACAGCACGAAATGACTATGGAGTCCCCATACCCTATTGGGGTCAATTTATCGGTAATTCGGCCTGGCAGGCGGAGCAACTCCGACCTCTCCTTACAGCCATGCCTATTTCTGTTCTCATCTGCTTAACATTCAACTCTTTAGCAACTACCTGAATCACAGCTTCACACATAGAGTCTGTCCAGACACGCAGGACTCACCATGGCAAAGATCAAGTCACTTGAGTACTTCCGCGTCCCTCCACGCTGGCTATTCGTCAAGGTCGTTGATGAACATGGCAATTATGGCTGGGGTGAGAGCACCCTTGAAGGGCACACTGAGGCTGTGGAGGGCACTTTGAACGCTCTATGCAAGCGTTTTCAAGGTTACGAGGCCGAGTAAGTCTATTACGCCAGCGCCAACGCTGTATACCCTAACCACCCCCCTCCATAGTGACATCGAACACATTTGGCAAATGTCCTGGCGCCTAGGCTTTTATCGAGGCGGCCCAGTCTTCATGTCCGCCATTTCGGGAATCGATATCGCTCTCTGGGACCTGAAGGGCCGTCGACTTGGAGTTCCCATCCACCAACTTCTCGGCGGCAAAGTCCGCAACAAATTATCCGTCTACGCGTGGATCGGCGGCGACCGACCCTCTGATGTAGAAGCCGCCGGCAAGGCCCGTCTCGCCCAGGGGTTCAAGGCCATTAAGATGAACGCCACAGAGGATGTGAACTGGCTCGATTCCCCCAGCGTCCTAGACTCCAGCGTCGAGCGTCTGAAGACCGTCAAGGCCCTCGGACTGGACGCCGCCCTTGACTTCCATGGCCGACTTCACAAGCCGATGGCGAAGCAGCTGGCCAAGGCACTTGAGCCGCATCGACCCTTATTCCTCGAGGAGCCGCTCCTTTCGGAACATCCCGAAGCGATCAAACAGCTCGCCGACCAGGTCTCGTGTCCGATCGCGCTTGGGGAGCGTTTGTACAGTCGCTGGGATGTGAAGCGCTTCTTAGAGGATGCGAGCGTGGACATTCTGCAGCCCGATATCGCCCACTGCGGTGGCATCTCGGAGCTGAGACGGATAGCTTCCATGGCAGAGACCTACGATGTCGCGATTGCGCCACATTGCCCGCTGGGGCCCATTGCCTTGAGCGCGTGCATGCAGGTCGACTTAGCGACGCCGAACTTTGTCATCCAGGAGATGAGTTTGGGCATGCACTACAATACAGAGGCGGGAGAGTACGATATCACTAGCTACGTCAAGGATGCGGGTGTGTTCGCGGTAAAAGATGGATATGTAGACGCTCTCACGGCACCGGGCCTGGGGATTGAGGTTGATGAAGAGACGGTAAGACGAGTGGCCGCGAATGCAGAGCCCTGGCTGCCGAAGGAGTTCTATGGCTCCGATGGTGGAATTCGCGAATGGTAGTGTGTCATAAATTGTGAGGGGAAAAAAAAACAGAATAGATCGATCGAAGTAGTTGAGGATACATCTCCAAATAACCGAAAGCTGCTTTCCAATTGAAAATTCTATCAAGCAAAGAATCTAGCAGCAGAATCTCTATGTCCATCTATATTCCGAGGAGCAGTATGAAGTCATGCCGATAGTCGGAAGGTCAAATTAAGCCTTCCGCGCAGCGTTAAGCTCATCTGCACGTCCAAGACAATCGTTGATCATGTTCCAGAAAGCATCAAGATCGACACCCCGGGGAATGCAAACCGCGTTTGGTGCAGGCTTAGCAACGGTCTGACCCAGATGCCCAACCAGCTCCATGTTGCTTGAATGAAGACCGTTGGTGACTACGTTAACAGCGAAACGCTCACCATTGCGGTCATCAAACTTCAGCGCCTTTTCGGGGTGATTTTGTGCGTAGAGGGGGTTCAGGGTCGACAGAATGATAGCGACGGCAAGCGGGTCGTGCAGGGGTGGGCCCGAGGCCAATCCAAACACATTCTCGTAGGTGGAGGCAAAGAAGATGAGAAGCTCATACAGCATTTGTCGAAGGGTCGAGGGCTGAACGGAGGCATCATCCACGCCGTGGCGGACGAGGTTCCGCACCTTCTCGCTAGCCAGGACCTGGTGAGTCAAGTCAAGGGCAATCAAGTACGTCTTGGATGCCAGTGTGGCGTTACTGAAAATGGACTGAGATGACTCGGGATCGCACTGTAGGGAGTATATCAGCTAGTGCAGAGCAGAAGGGCGGGCATAAATGGGAATGCGCACATAGATGTTGAACTCCGCGAAAGGAGTCACATTTCCAATCCGGTCGTGCTGGCCTTCTATCCTACTCATCGGGACATCGGTGAAACCATTACCCACAGCCCCTCCCATGATGCTCAGTCCTTGAATGTGATCGACCACTTCAGGAAATGTAGCGAACAGCAGGGCCACGTTGGTCAGTGTGCCGGTAGCGATGACCCAGGGGGTTCCCTTGGGCTCAGCCAAGAGGGCGTCGCGCATGGCAAGGATGGGGTTCTTGTCAGTGATGGGAGCCGTGGTGGCTTTGGGGAGAAGCTCTGTTCCATCGATGCCAGAGTCGCCTAGTAGCGTTAGAGTCAGTATTGTGAGGCTTATAACCTGCCAACCTTATTTTAGACCTACCGTGGATATTGGGTGCATGAACGGCGGGCCGACAGAAGGGCTTTTTGGTTCCAGGATAAACAGGAATGTCTGAACGGCCGATAGCTTCCAGAACCCTGGTAGCGTTGACTGTGGTATTGTCTAGGGAGGAGTTGCCATGAATGGTAGTGATACCGAGAAGCTTCAACGAGGGATGATGCGCAGCGAGAAGAATGGCAAAAGCGTCCTGAGCACGTTCACCGGAGGATTAATGAGTTATATATTCTGCGTTGTAAGATATCGGGAGTCTTTGCACTTACATCGTGACCTATAAACACTTATCAGCCAACTTGGCCATACAGGCGTCGAAGGAAGGTCTGCAGTATGTTGCGAACTGGGAGAAGAACTGCTTACCGGGGTCACAATCTAGCCACAAAGGAATTGGGGTATCTTCTGAGGAAGCCATTGAGGTAATCAGTTGCTTGAGGAATAGTTAAAAGCTCAGGCAGTGACTCAGTAGGATTAATTTGCGGGATGAAGAAGATGAACCACAACGGGGGTGGGATGCGGGGACTTTGCGATAAGAAATGTGGCGGCGATAAGCCTTATCGCGGGCACCAGTAGCCCTAAGCCCTACATTCTATATTAGGAAATAGCGGCGGCATAGGTAGGTCATTCCCCTCCGGCTGTCGCAGTTGCTTCAACAACTTCAATCACCATCACGCGCTGGCATTAGCTGATGGAGCTTTGTGCCTCAGAATCTTACAATAAAATCTTGAATTTCAGCGATCCGGCATTGCTTCTTCACTGGCGATGAAATGACCAGCGACCCTCTCCGCCCGGGTCTCCATCCTCTGTCGCAACTTAAGGCTAGTCCGACAACCTCTAGCTCCAAGTCGACAGCCTTGTCAGCTTCCTCGCTATTGTCGCAGCCATCATCACCCAGACCTACTCGCCCTCAACCATCCAAGGGACCTAGTCGTGATGAGACGCTTAGTTCCACAAGCGAAAAGGCAACTATTGCTCTGATTCGACGCGTTCTGTGTCCGCAGTCGGGTAACCATGGCGGTGCTTCCACGCCTTCACCTTTAGAAGACTTGCTACCCCCTTTGACAAGCTCAAACGAACTCGATCTTCAACTCTACGCCTTAATTGCCATAGTGGTCAAGGAGTTTGTTCTTTCTTGGTACTCAAAAATCACGGCGGATCAGGTCTTCATCAACGAACTCATACAGGTTATTGCGCACTGCACCCGGGCGCTCGAGCAGAGGGTTCGCGAAACCGACATCGCACAGCTAGTACTCGATGAGGTTCCAGCACTGGTAGAGACGCATATCAGTTGTAAGTGTGGTTGCATTTTGCTACCTTGATCGATTTTGTATATTGGCGGTTCAGGGCTGATTAGATCGATGGCCTGATGCAGCGTACAGGCTAGCCAAACAGCAGTCGGACTTGTGCGAGCTATCGCCATCACTTCGCGAGATATATCATTCCTTGAATCCTCACCCAGGTCTTTCACCAGTTCCGAGCCCGTCAGATGCCCAGAGCATGACAGGACAACAAGAAGCCGAATCCATATACAGGCAATTGCTGGTACAAGGAGCGCTTGCGATTCTTCTTCCAACGGAAGATCTTGAGAACGTCTGTCTACGGACCTTGTTATGCGATATCATGGCAGATCTTATTCTGGGCAATGGAGTGGCCGGGAAAATGAGTGACGGGTGTTTCATACTGGAGAGTATTACAAAACTGGTAGACAATGCTGGACGCGACAGTCGCAAGGAGGATGCAACCACAGCTCAGTTCCGTCAGCGCTCCCGATTACACGAGTACGGCTTAATCTCATCGCGAGAGGAGCGGCTGAAAGGCTCGTCACACCCACCGACCCCAGTACGAATCCCGGACTGGGCGTGGCAGATTCTGCAAGTTGGATATACCGTCTATGTGGCCTTGCACTTCATTATAGTAGGTTTGTTTCGTGTTTCATCGAGGAATCCGGCGCCTTCCTCTCGGACTTTTGCTTCACCAATCAGCAAAGCAAGTGAGACAAATGGCATGTGCACGAGCTCGAGGAAGCGACCTGTGCTCAAGTATCGGCTTTACGGCATGCTCGCTCAACTGCTGGATGTACCTCGGCGGATGCCATGGCTTGGGGGATGTCTCGCGCTGGTTCAGCACTTGATCCTGGCGGGTCCAGGTAGATTAGGTGACACCGATAGCGTTCTCAATAGGTGAGTTGTGTGTTTATTTTGAGTTCTCGCACCCCTCTGCCCCTCCTCCGCCAAGCACTTCAATTGTCTTTCAACGCCGACAAATGGAAATGATAGCTGTTCTTGACCTGTGGAGAAGCGGTGCGGTTCGATTTCCGAACTATGATCTACACTGGTGTGGACAAGTCGTGCAGCACTGTTGGTGGTTATCACCTGGAGATTAGGATGACGGAGCAGGAGCCGGTGGGCCGTCGATGATGCATAAGGGATGCGCATTGCTCGCATGCTGCAACGATCACTTGATCTGCTGGTGGATGCACAGTCCGACTTCTGCATTTGCCTTAATCTGGCTCTGATTCGCTCGTGCAAGGGTGCTCTTGTTATTACAGACCGTGACCGGCGCTTACGGTTAATATACCACCCGCGTAATCGTCATTACGAGCCGGTGGTCCCGTCTCTTCTTCAGACTTCTTCATCAATCAATCAGTCGGTCAATCACTCAATCAATTAATTGACAAATCGCGACCGGGCCCTGTCTCGGCCACTTCCTACTCAAGTCATGCCATTTCTACTCTGACTGAATGTCGGACATGCCGAGTCAGGTCGATCTTGAGTAGTCTGCGACCTCCTGTCAACCATTCTATGTCAAGTGCACCAGCCTTTTCATGACCGGTGAGGGACGGGACCGGGCCTTCCGTCCCGTCCTCTTCCACGTACAACCTGGCTGTCAAACAATGCTACAACGAGGAACAAAGAAATTTGGAAATGGGTCTGAACCATCTGCACATCCTTTCGAAAGGCTAGCTGGGGGGAGAGGCTAAAGTGATCCTTGCACAGACAAATGACGCTCCCTAGCCTTTAGGTCACAAACAAACATTTGTGAAGATCATGCTTCCACTCATCGATTGACTGGCTGCTTATTTCGGGAGCATTTGCAGGGACAGGGCAAATTGCTACCCTGTTCCCATATTTTTCGACCAATCATCAAAATCCCTCGCGCTCGAATATCTGAGTCTGTACCCCAGCTGTGTCTTATGGCGCATATGAACACGTTACGGGAGAGGCTAAGGGGAGATGCCGTGTTCTCCAACGTATGAGCTGCCTTACCTTTCTTGTCCGGGGAACAAATATCCACCTTGCTCTTTTCCAAACCTGCCGTCATATTCAGAATCACTGGTGGTATCTCAATCGCACCAATCGGTGGTCCATGCTCCTCCGCCGTGCCTCTGGCCAGGCTGATCCCTCTACCATTTGACATTTTCGGTCTGTCGGGGTCAACCGCTTCTCCACAATATCGAGGTCCTCCATTACTGGCTTTAGAAGTCAGATCGCCTCTGATGCTCTTTCTGACTCCCTTCATCCCTGCTCCTAGCTGTTATCTTACATTTACCTTTACTAGGTTCCTTCACGAGACCATCCAGGATTATGTTCTCACCCCCGCTTTGTTACCAAACCTGCTCCTGGCGACCAGAGCGGCGCTTTTCCCACTGAACGCTCGTCCAGCGGCGGCGACCACGGCGGTATCGGCGCCGCAGCTGTCTGTGCAACCTCCCACGCCTCCTATTGCCATCACTAAAGACCCTGTTAGCGAAAGCGCTGGCGCAAGTGACGCTTGCAGTAGCGTCTCAACGACTGGTCTCTCATCGACAGCGCCCTTATCGCCGGACCCGCGTCCCTCTACGCCCGATTTCGCATCTGTCAAGCGACGCTGCGCGGCCAGCATCCTGTCTCGGGTGCCTCGCCCAATCGTTCGGCAATTCTTCGCCGCCCCGGCCGTTATTCTGTCGACTCATGGTCAAGTGGATGACTTGCCGTCAAACAAACAAACTTCGCCATCATCCTCGTTATCGCCGTCACCGTCGCCTGCACCAATCAACGACGCGGAAGAGGTATATCTTCTCGCATGTATTGAGGAGATTCTCGACCTCTTTTCCGACGACTACTGCAACAAACACCTGATCTACTCTATCATGGAGGCCATTCTCACCAACCTTCTTCCAGAGCTATCCGAGCGTAGTATTGCTGAGTTGATGGAGGACAGGGGGCTGTCGCTAGACGTCGCGAATTAAGTTCACTGACCTTTTCCTTATAGAGTATCGGTAGACGAGGCGTACTACACGCACGCTACGCTGCATTGAAGATCTTTGTTTCTTAGTCTACATTAACTTTCGCGGAGAGCTAACTAATGATAATGATATTTGGGAGTTGCACGAGGTTAGAGTGGGAAGGGGAGGGCCTATTCGTCTTAACCTCACACTAGAGTGGCTTTGTCATTCCTGTCGTTCCTTCATTTATGCTGGCACCAGTCTTGAGATACTGTACCGTAGATATGCACAGTCTAGGCAGGAAGAGGCGCGCCGTACCTTTGTGCCCCTGCCCGTCCTGACTCGTGCACAGAGCATCGCCCAAGCTTGAGACTCGCCTCGCCCACGCCATAGTCTGACCACGGATGTTGTCCCTTATGTTCCCCGTCCCGTATAATCTATGTCTACCGGTAGTTTGATGTTTAGAGACTCCCTTGGAGTTCCAAGCCTCGCCTCATCTCGCCCCGCCTCGCCTCGCCTGGCTGGGGTCTAGGCTTCGAGGCCTCGAGGCCTATCGCCCCTCGTCGAATGCGAATAACAAGAGCCCAACAACCACCGAATAAAAGGTACAGTACCGCCTCTGTTCGAACGCAGTTCGGAAGAATCCTTGGCAACATACTGTACTGTACCTAGTACCTAGTCAGGTAACCTATTGCACCATATCCATCTGATTGGGTGTGTGACGGTGGCTTGAGTCCCTGAGTAACATGTAATCGTATCTTGTATCTTGAAGAGTAGCAGTCAGGCAGACAGACAGGAAGCATCGAATTCGCTTTAGATGTTGGGGTCGGTCAAGAGTATGCATAATGTTTGGGATCAAGCAGGCTTGGGGTCAAGACAACAAGGCACAAAGCGATCTGGGTGAAGACAGGGTTACGTACGTCAGGCGAGGAGTGTACCATACATACATACAGACATAGGAGCAGCTTGTCTAGAGAAATCTCAGGCACACTGAAGGGGGAAGTCAGGCAGGCATCTCCTCAGGCAGCCAGGCGTCTCAGGCAGATATTGAAGCCTGAGGCTGGGCTGGGCTGGGCTGGGCTGGGTAGGTCTGTACGGTATGCGGCGGTAAGTTAAATCTTCCCGGTTGGGTACCTGAGATAGGTACTCAGGAGGTGTAGACTGGTTTCACGGCCCGGGCATACATCATGGTAAAGTGCTAGGTGGGTGCCCGTAACTTGGTGGCGGAACCACTATTAGTAACTTGCACATCCCTCTCCTTCCCTGCCCCACAGGAACTGAACCAGGGTTCCTATTCAAGGTTCAAGGTTGCGAGGGACGCCACTACGGGTGTTCTTTCCAAGGGACACGGCGCTTAGAGATACTACGGACCAGCCACCCCCCCCCCCAACCCCCAACAAATGACATCAAGTTGAAATCACCTCCAGATGGATGCGGTGAGCCCTGCGCGCTATCATCACAAAAAAGTCGAGGGTTGAAAAGAAATATTGGTCTGTTGTAGGCCGGAATCGAGCCAATGGGATTCTCCCTGTACGGGAAGATATTGTGATTGCTCCCCTTCCTCTTCTTGAGGCTCCGTTCCATGTTTGCCATTCTCAACGGGACTGGGGCCATTGGATTAAGACGGAAATCTAGGGTCTGGTTTGCGCACACACACGCACAGAAAGCGTATGACCAAAGGTTTAAAAGGAAAAAATCCCTGCGTAAGCGATGCAGATTCTGACTTTGAGTCTTCTGGCTCGAGTAAAAGAACAACATCCAAATATAAAGTAAACCCAGTAGACGGATAGATATTACACTGGCACAACCAATTTCGGTATGCTCGACCCAACACCGTAGGACATGAATCCCTCATGACCCCATAATTTCCCTGAGTTGCCTTTCCAGTATGTATGAGCCCATATGATGATTGAGGTTGCCCTCTTCTGGTGTATCCCACGTAGTAATTTTTGGTCTGTCCCATCTCCACCCCCAGTGTGATTATAGTGAGAAAAGGAGACATAAAGGGAACAAGGAAAAGAAAATAATCAAAAAGCATGTGACATGCAATTATTAGAATCAGAAAGCCACCCGATGAGCAAAGAAGGAAAGTGATATCAAAGGTGCCAAGGAAACGAGACTGCAATGAACCCCAAAGAAAAAGAAAACGCGGAGGAGAAATCAAACAGAAACAATATGTACTATCAATGTCGCAGGTCGTATATCTTCGCTTTCGATATTCGGGGCTGCGACTTTGAGTGATGATACATTAGGCTGAGTAGTGGCATCTCTGGCGGATATGTCGATGGGACCGCTTAACCCATACTGTGAATACTTCGTTTCTTGTTCAGGGTAGGCACATCGTCATGCTCATCAATCCGGGTGAGACCACCAGGGAGGGTGCCTTGCGATGGCTTGGTGAGCTCGAGCTTTTCCATCAACTTCCCAATGGTAAGATAATCTTCTGCCACGAGACCCGCCGGCTGCTGCTTCAGATAGCTCATGACCAACTCCAGAGCCTTTCTGGCTTCATCCTGGCTGGGTGATCCCGGGGAACTGACGGGAGAAGCGTTAGTAGATTTCGAGAAGAGCGGCGGATATGTGGTTTTGGGCTTGATCTCTGGATTGCTGCGATTTCGTTTGATCGTGCCCACCGATGTGTCCAATCCCGGCAGAGTCTTCTGATCTTGTTGTTCCTCCAGAGAAGTAGCTTCTTGCATCAAGATCGACTGTCGTAGAGCGGCCTTTGTCAATTGCTCGTTTTCTTCCGGAGAGATCAAGTTGGGGTCAGCTGAGCCTGATGGGAAGGTCTGGCTGCGGGGTCGGTTGGAGTTACCATCCACTGGCGAAGTAAGAGACTGGCTCGTAGGTGTGAAAGGGCTGTCGGTAATCAGAGTGGATGTTGGACTCGTGATGCCAGCGGAGAACGTCGAGGAAGTGTCTAAGGAAGTGGTACTGTGGCTGTGCGCATGCTGGAAATCGCCAGTGATCTCAGCCAGACTGTGGGCAAACTCCGCTCTGATATTCTCATTGCTCTGCATTGGGGACAGAGGTGACGGGCTGAGGAATCCGGTGGTCGATGTAGGGGAGAGGACGGTTGGAGAGTGGATAGCAGAGGCCAAGGCCGAGTTGATGCTCAAACAGGTCGGGCTCTCCGAGTCACTTTTGGCACTAAAAGAGCCTTTTCGAGACTTGGCCCCCGTGAGATCGTATTTGCGTTTGAATTTCTCAAGCCAGCTGGTGCTCAACACCTTTTCTTTGCCATCGGGACTACCGCAGGTGCTAGCAAAGAAAAGAGCTTTTTCCCGGATCATCTCGTCGTTGATAGGGTACTTTTTCTGATAGTTTCTCGCCCAGTTAGACAGGGCTTTCTCGATGTCTGGTACTCTCCCTTTGGCCCTCTTGATGGGGGACCGGGTGCCATCATCAGGATTAAGATATTTCTCCTTCTGACGCAGAACTTTCGATACAGTACTTCAACCAACCGTGTTAGAGAAAGCTTGACCGCCTCGAGCATAGCGGGAGTAACGGAAGACTTTACCTTCTTTCGACCCCAAAGAGTGCTGCAGCAGGATCGGTTAGACGGGGAGTTCGTATCAAGAAAAGGCGTGAAGACTTTACCTCCAATGTCAGTCTGCTTAGCGGTCTTGTTCTCCTCGTGATAGAGACACATTCGTCGACGGTCCTCATCGGTGAGGGTCCGCCGTGGGGTGGAGCCGCTGGTTGAGGACTTGCGCGGTGGCGGGACAGGTGTAAGAGAGGTGATGGCGGGCGTTTGCTGAGGTTGCTGCAATGGTGGTGGTGGAGGCGGCGGCGGTAGAGGCATTGCAGGCATGGCTGCATCCGGGAAAGGCCCCTGGGTGGTGAGCATGCTGGGCCATGTGTTGGAAGTCATGGTCAATGGCATTGATGCATAAGGTGGTGGAATTGAGACTCCATAGGAAGAATCAAGAGGTAAGACACCGTATCCGAATCCCTGATAGTCCAGGGTGGGCGATTGCTCGGATGGACTGAAACCGCCCATATCCACCCAGGGTGATTGCGCAAAGTCATTGTCTTGCGGATGTGTGCTTTCCGTATCCATACTGAAGGGAAGGTAGGACAAGGGAAAATCCTGAAAGGGAAGACGCAGAGAGACAAAGAGAGACAGTGTGAGAAGTATATCAGGGGAGGGGGGGGGGAGAGAGAGAAGGTGGAGTGGAAGAAGTGGTGGAGGTGGCACTGAGACAAGTGCTTAACAAAGATATTTGTCTATCAGACAACCCCAAAGGGATTTTAAGAATCCAAAAAAACCGGGGAATGAGATCTGATCAATAGCTCTGAGAGAAAAAGCAATGATGGGTGGAAGCCAGTCAAAGAGACGGTCTAGGGCCGAGACAAGGGGAGAAAGTGATGCATATTCAGACTCGAACTGGAGGAACGAGTGAGCTGCGCTTACGGAAGCTGAAGAGCGGGCATGTATCAACTTTCTAGAGCCACCAGATCTGCGCTCCCTAGACAATTGGCGTCTGATAGGGTAGACTACCCCGAGAAGATGACCAAGAGTTAGCTGACCCGGGAAGGGGGGAGGGGCGAGAAAAGAGGACGTCTGCACCATACAACTTCACATGGATTGGATAGACCAGGACGGAAGGAGATTGATACCAGTAGTAGAGGAGTCAGTCGCCTTCAAGCGAGAAAGCGGGTCAAGCGTGCGCAGCGGGTGGGTAAAGAAAGCATGGAGGTTTTTAAACGTGAGAGACAAGAAAAAAAAGGGTCGGGCCAGGGCACAGGCACCGCAGGGACGATCAGGGAAACGACCGGAGAAGCTCACAGTTTTAGCTTGTCGTATATCCCAAGTAATTGGCGGAGAGGAGGAGGAGAAGAGGAAGAAACAGAAGGAAAATGAGGAGGAGTGAGTAAGTCAGTCAGTAAGTAGATACGGCAGGTAGCAAGGTAGAGTGAGTGAGTGAGTGATTGCAGTCAGTAAGTTACAGTCTGTAAGTAGTTGGTTTAGTAGAAGACCAGGAAGGGAAAGGCAAATGGAAAAGAGGCGTCGTCAATGG